AATGATTCCATTTTATAATTAAGGTTCTCAAATTTTACCCATTTTTCCCAGATTAAAGATGCAATAGTTTCACACAGTTGTTTCATGCAAGAATGCATCATTGAAGAAATCAATGATGCTGAGATTGGATGCTGTGGATGTAATGGTCGAGAAGTTCATTGAAGAAGTTCATTTTCTTTGGATATGGATTTTCCTTTGCATTCTCCTTGTACATATGTGTCATTTGTTTTTTGCAAATTACAACCTTGAAGACATTTTTGAATTTGTAATTTAACATAGACAGATAAAAATATTAGTCAATTTGGATGTCTATGTGGAATCCAAGAACTACTGACTATTTTTTATTTAGATTACTTTACCGTCTTCAATCTATTCCGAATTATAGAACATTACGACTATCAAGTCCAAAATACATAAAATTTAAAACGCTAACATCACCTTCAAAATAACACACCCCGTGCAATGAACTGGTTAAAACTAGTAATAGTAAAAGAGTAATTCAAACATACAAAGTCCTTGACATGTATAAACTAACATATGATGGAGTTAGTATTCCAATGTTTAAAATAAACAAAAATATAAGTTAAATCATGGAGTAATGGCGCGAGAAACTATAACCATAGTTACAAGTTGCCTTTAGAGTGGTCTGGCAAAGATGAAGCTTCTACAGTTGGAGGCCCACGTCTGCACAGCAGTTCACGAGCCAGTTCTTGAAGATCGCCTCCACCTCCACCTCCGCCACCAGCTGATGATGATATCTCAGGCGGAGCTCTGGCGGCACCAAGCAGATGATGATCAACTTGCCTTGACGGCATTGTCACCACTGGATCAAATAGTGATGATAAATCATAGGTTGGTGGCGCTGTTGGCAAGTCGAATATAGATTGGGTTGCGGATGGTATTAACAGTGGCTGCGGCAGTGGTGGAGGTGTTGGAAGCTCCAGCGCCGCCAGATGAGCTTTTAAGTAAGAGAGCTCTGCCTGCAGATTCGCCACCTGCAACGCCAATGCCCAAAAGGAATTGAAACGCTTATAAATAGTTGTTAAATAAAGATGTTTAATTATTAACTAATGAACCATAAGTTTATTTTATTTCCCTACTAAATAAAAATTCTATTTAATTTGATTTTATGAAAAAACCCAAAATTACAAATGAATAAAAAGTAATATACTTTTAACCACCACGAGCCCTTGTTTGACTATCATTAAAACAAATTTTTTTCTCACTCATTTTCAACCACATATTCTTATAATAAAATATTATACATGTAAACTCAATTTTTTTCTACTTTTTAACTGTTCAGGGTATGTTTGATAGATATTATTGAAAAAAGAATGTATTTTAAATAGTGATATGATTGAAAATACGTGGTTAAAAAGTAGAGAAAAGTTGTTGATGTGATGAAAAATATTATTTTATTGAAAAATGCATGGTTGAAAATGAGTTTTGAAAAAATATATTTTTAAATAATGTGTATCAAACTGTGGCTCATTTTTCAAAAAATTACTATCCAAAACTCATTTTAATAGTTGTCAAACGGGCTGAATCTCAATATATAGAAGTTAAATCAATAGTCATTTGAATAATCAACTTCAATTTTGCTGCAAGTAGAACCATTTCGCCTCATCTGCCAACTTAATAACAATTTCTACTGTCTGTGGTCACAAATTTTTTAAACTTAATCTATTCATATACATTTTCAATCACACATTTTATGAGACATATAAGTTTTATCAATTTTTCAATTACACATTTTATCAAATTTTATCAAAATCTATCAAAATTTGTTTTTTAGTCCAACAAAACGGGGGCTTAAGTATTTTTATGTAAATTGTAGTCTATATATGCATATGTTGAGGCTCGAACCCCTGATCGATGATGTGCTCCCAGAAATTGGCTTAAAGTTGTGTTTATTGCTGATACATTTTTATTAGTGTAAACGTTTTTTTATGAGATGATGACACGTGTGTTCAAATTCTGGTCATTGGATTCTTGCCTTATTGGTGTGAGATATATATACGTGCACAGTGCTTATTTTTCTCTTGTTGTGCCTTTCGAGATTCTACTAACTTCTGTTTCTTCTGAGAGACACATTATTCTTGGATATTAGGGTTTGATCTTAGTATTCTTCATCTCGTGATGAACTTGTAAACTAGGATCATATGTCTTTGTTAGCCTCTATACTCTGTATTTTTGAGTGATTGCCGTGAGAATAAGGGTTTTCTTGCAGTCGCAATTTCAATAGGCGATTGTTAAGTTTCTTGAGTGATTCCTTATATATCTACAGTTTGGTGTTAAAGAGGTTGGAAGAACATTTGTTAAC